AGCAGGGCGGGGGGTCATTCCCAGGAGAGCGCTGGTGGAGGCACAGGAGGTGATGGCTGTTGGGAGGCTGGGCTGTGGTTAGAAATATGGGGTAGGGAAAAAGTGAGGAATGTGGCCAAAGGCCAGAGTATAAAGACTGCAGTCCTACTGAAGGGCTTAGGTCTGACTCTGTAAGCAGTGGGGAGCCCTCGGAGAGTTAAGCAGCAGAAAACCACGACAAGATGTGTGAGTTACAAACACCATGCTGATGCAGAGTGTGGGGGTGGGATGAGGGAGACAAACTGGAAGACCAATTAAGAGGCTGTTGAGAAAAACCCAAATGGTGAGTCCTTAATGGAGTAGAGAGGGAGGGGAGGGGGGTGAGCTGACGAGTTAGAAGATGAGCTCCTTCGAATGTGGGAACCCAAGAATACGACAGGAAAGGACAAAGCCAAGGACCATGCACGGTGACCCGCCGAGGTGTGCAGACCCACCCACAGCAACACAGCGAGACTCACTGGGCAGCAGGGGAGGGAGGAGCGGAGGCGCCAGAGGGCAGCAGTAAGAGTAGGGGTGGGGAGGGGCTTCTGGGCTGGATCTGGACACCTGGTGGCTTCAGGACAGAGGGCAGCAGGGGCTGAGCTCACCCAAGGAGAACACTGGGGTGGCATGAAAGAGACCAGTATAATCCTTATTGAGCTAAGGACAAAGAAGAGAGAGCTGGCAAAGCAGGCTGTGGAGGTAAGGTGGTAGAGACTGGAAGACAAGCAGAAGGCAGGCCAGGTGGAGAGAGACAGCATGGACTCAGGAGGGGAAGGGAACCCTCGGCCGGCACAGACAGTAGGCCCGGAGAGGGAGCCCTCACTGGTGTGGGCCGTTAGCTGGCTGTCAGTACCACAGCCAAGCAAAAGGATGAAGATGAAGTGTGGACGGCTCAGCCGATGTATCTGTAGTCACCTCAAGGAGCATCCTTATGACAGTATCTCCCCAGAGCCTCCCTGTCTCGCTCCACTCTCAGCAAGGCCTTCCTGACCACTCCCACCAAGTGACCGGGCCAGCACCCCTCACCCTCTCTTGCCTTGGTTCCCTCCGGAGCTTTACCATGCCTGCCCCCCCTTACATTACACGGCCCACACATCCGCTGCCTCACCTGCCGGAACATTGCCTCCTGAGGGCAGAGAACCTGCCCCCCACCACCTCTGTGACAGCATGCCAAGAGCAGTGCCTGGCACACAGAGGTTAGCGGCTTTGTCCCAAGTCACCTGGCTCATTAGAAGCAACAAATACTTAGCAAGCACATACCATGTGTTGGATACCATGCTGAATGCTGGGGGTACAGTGGCAGGCAAGACAAAATGATTCTGTGAATTCTGTGTGTGTGTTGTGAGATGTGTCGTCTGTGTGTGGTAGTGTGAGATTCGGTGTGTGTGTTGGGGACCCTGTCCTCAGTGCTTGAAGTTGGAGGAGAGAAGAAGACCAAGTATTTAAACAAAAAGTAGAATATAACTGCCACAGAGTGAGGACTGGGATCTGACTGTCGTGCCTTGTAGTAATACTCCCTTTCCAAGCTCAGGACTGCCAGCTTCTCCAACTCACAGAAGCCTTCACCTGGGGAAACAAAGTAGTTAAGGGTTGTCCTTAGTTCATTCTGGAGATCTCAGGCTTCTTCCATCCTTTCTTAGACTGCTAAGAAGTGGAAACACCCACTACAGGCTCTGACTATTTAACCTGAAGAGTGCAATCTGTCTCTAGTTCTTCTATATAAGCAGGAGGACAAATTCTAGACTCAGGCAGGAGAAAACAGGGAGCAGCAGCATTAGCCACAGGTCAGACAGATCTGGGTTCAAATCCTTGTAACCTTGGGCAGGTTACTCAACCTCTTTATAATTTGATTTCTTTATTGCTGAAGTGAGAACTAATTCCTGTGTCATAGGTTGTTGCAAAGATGAAATAAAATGATACTTACAATGCACTCAGCATGGTACCTAGTACACACTGAGTGCTTAATAAATAGTGGCTCTAAACCAGTTACACCTGTTGCTTTCATTATGAGACCTCTTATTTCTATATTCACACAAACCAAGCCAAAAATGACTTACGTTCAAACCAAAGAACATACATGTGAAATAGGACACAAATTGATATCTAGTTGGATGACTTGAAGAATTACCTCCAATTCCCATACTTGAACAGACCCTACAGTATGAGTTTCATTTCAGTTTCGTGGTCTGCCCTGTTTTTTCTCCAATTTAGACAAATGCAACCACTTCCTCAACAGATCACATCTTGTTTCGTGGCAAGAGTCCAGACATGGGCTGGATTCCACGGTGCAAGTTGTGGCAGAGCTATAAACACCACACCTCAAGAGAGCATAAGAACACAGTTGCAAGCCCAGTGTACACACAAACTCCCGAACACAGCTTGGTTCCAGAGAAGGAAATAAGAACTGGTCACAGCATGTTGTGCCTGCCTCAAAGCTAAAGAAAAGGTTATCTTTTACACACAAATACCAAAATCTTATGTGAGAGTGAGGACTGGGATCTGACTGTCGTGCCTTGTAGTAATACTCCCTTTCCAAGCTCAGGACTGCCAGCTTCTCCAACTCACAGAAGCCTTCACCTGGGGAAACAAAGTAGTTAAGGGTTGTCCTTAGTTCATTCTGGAGATCTCAGGCTTCTTCCATCCTTTCTTAGACTGCTAAGAAGTGGAAACACCCACTACAGGCTCTGACTATTTAACCTGAAGAGTGCAATCTGTCTCTAGTTCTTCTATATAAGCAGGAGGACAAATTCTAGACTCAGGCAGGAGAAAACAGGGAGCAGCAGCATTAGCCACAGGTCAGACAGATCTGGGTTCAAATCCTTGTAACCTTGGGCAGGTTACTCAACCTCTTTATAATTTGATTTCTTTATTGCTGAAGTGAGAACTAATTCCTGTGTCATAGGTTGTTGCAAAGATGAAATAAAATGATACTTACAATGCACTCAGCATGGTACCTAGTACACACTGAGTGCTTAATAAATAGTGGCTCTAAACCAGTTACACCTGTTGCTTTCATTATGAGACCTCTTATTTCTATATTCACACAAACCAAGCCAAAAATGACTTACGTTCAAACCAAAGAACATACATGTGAAATAGGACACAAATTGATATCTAGTTGGATGACTTGAAGAATTACCTCCAATTCCCATACTTGAACAGACCCTACAGTATGAGTTTCATTTCAGTTTCGTGGTCTGCCCTGTTTTTTCTCCAATTTAGACAAATGCAACCACTTCCTCAACAGATCACATCTTGTTTCGTGGCAAGAGTCCAGACATGGGCTGGATTCCACGGTGCAAGTTGTGGCAGAGCTATAAACACCACACCTCAAGAGAGCATAAGAACACAGTTGCAAGCCCAGTGTACACACAAACTCCCGAACACAGCTTGGTTCCAGAGAAGGAAATAAGAACTGGTCACAGCATGTTGTGCCTGCCTCAAAGCTAAAGAAAAGGTTATCTTTTACACACAAATACCAAAATCTTATGTGATACCCTTCTTTTTCCATCCAAACTCTCTATAAGTGGTTTACTTCACTGATGTCTCTGTTTCTTTCTCCCTCGTTTATGTCCAACACCATGCAACCTGGAGCCTCCCAGCCCGGTTCCCCTCTTGTGGCATCACACTCCTCAAGGCCATCTGTCACTAACTTGTCACAGATGCAGCGGCCTTCCTTCACCCTTCTTCCTCGTCTCTGGTGCCCCACCCTCTCCCCTTCCTGGGACTCTCTCCCTTGGCCTCTGGTTCTCTTCCACATTCTTCCTTTCCCAGTGTTACACACATTCCCGACAGCTCAGCCCTCTGCTCACCATGGGGAGAATTTATTTAATCCTATGGCTTCCGTTCTACATCTCCAGACCTAACCTTCTCAGTCCAGGCTTCATGCCTGCACTCCCAGTGTCTACTGGACATTTCCTGTGGATGAACCACTGTCATCTTGAATTCAATGTACCTAAAACCACATGCATTAACAACTCTCCATCTCCAATATCCACAATTTGTCAATGGTGCCATTCTGAACAATGGTAACACTGTGAAAGTTTATCAAGTTGAAACTCTTTATCTTCTTAAGCACCTGTCTTTGAAGTCTAAGAAGACAGTAAATCGTATGGTTCTTCCTTTGCAGTATCTTTTCTCTAGGTTCTTTGCTTCTGTTCAAACCACTGTTCACACATGACTTCATGCCTGAATGGCTGCTGCCTTTGAACAGGCCCCTGCCTCTTCTCCAAATACTGCATGAATGGTCCTAGCACACTGCTTATGGCATTTCACTTCTTTGCCCAAAACAACCTCAATAGCTGCCTACTGCCCTCAGGACAAAGTCCAAGGGCCTAGCCCAGCATTCAGGGTCTAGAAAAGGAGTCTGCAAACTACAGCCCACAGGCCAAATCCTGCCCACCACCTGCCTCTATAAATAAAGCTTTTTGGAACATAACCTCACCCATTCATTTAAATATTATCTATGGCTGCTTTCATGCTACCACAGTGAAGTTGAGCACCTGTGATGGAGACCACATGGCCTGTGAAGCTGAAAATGCTTACCATGAGATCCTTTACTGGAATATGTACTGACCCTGGTCTAGAATAATCAGATGCCAGAAGATCCTGCCAAAGTTCTTGCCAATGACTCCTGGGAATGAAGCTCTTGCTCTTGGGGTCCACTCCAGCCCTGAGCCCACTTCCTTTACCTTTTATACCAAAAAGCTTATTTCACTCCTCCTTGGACTTCTCCTTCAAAACACAGACAAAGCCCAACCTCTCCATACGGCTGGCTGAATCCTAGCTGTTCCTCCCTCTGGCTTCCCTCTGTGCATCCACCACAGAAATCTACAGTGAGATTTCACTTCTCCCACAGATCCTTTCCACCTATGCTGCAGGCTCTCTAGAGGCCAAGCAGTGCCAGTAATAACTACCCTGCCCTTCATTCAAATACCTATCCTCAGTAGCATAATTTGGTAAGAAGGCATCAAACTTACCAATGAAGGCCTAGGATTCCACATTTGAAAAGTTAAGCTTGGGTCCAAAATATGCACTGTAGCCAACACCACCTAAAAGCCAATGAGGTTAGAGTTTAGCTCTAAAAGAGAATATTTAGACATTTTCTTTAAATTTTCAACCCCTCAATAACTTTTCATTCACTGTCCTACCAGGATGCCCATCTCTGCTTCTCTGCCTTGAAAATCCTGCTCATTCTTCAAACCCACTGGACAATCTTTCTCGGAAAGTCCCCCCAGTGTCCAAGGCTAACCATGCACCCCTGCCCCTCCCTTGCCCCTCAGCTCCCATGGAGCTCTGATGACACATCTATGGTAACCCATGGCATATAGGAGCATAACTTCTTATTTAGGAATGGGGGCCTTAGACTGTAGGCTTCTCAAAAAAAGAGACCTGTTAAATTCACTTCTCCCCTTACTTACACACCCTAGAACACTGTAGGCATTTAGATAGTACTCAAAAAATATTTGTAAAATGGGTGGTAAATGCCTACTCAATTCATTAACACATGCCTAAGTATCTAAAATTCCACTAGGCCACAATTTTTACCCTAGAAATGCATGCCTCAATTCCACTGCTTTTAATAAGCAATCATATAACAGGAAGGATTAATGAGATTAATATTCTAAGCTTCTGGGCAGAGAGCCCTCAGAGGCTCCCACAACCTAAGAGACAAGCCCAGCTCCGCAACCAGGTCACCAGGCCTGCACCAACTGGCCCGGCCTGACTGCAGCTTCTGCTGCACGTTCTCCCGTGATGGATCCTACGACCCAGACAGACAGGGCTGACAGAGCCCACTCTGCATTCCCTCTTGCTGCATGTCATCCTCCCCTTCTCTTCATCTTATCTCCTGTAATTGAAATGACATCCGTATCACACATCATATCCCAGACCAAGTTCATGGTGGGGCCAGTAAGATTTTTCCTCTCCATAAAATATACATAACATAAATTATACAATCCTAGCCTTTTTCAAGTTTACAGCTCAGTGGTATTAAGTATATTCATATTGTTGTGCAGCTATCACCACCATCCATCTCCACAGCTCTCTTCATCTGCAAAAGTGAAACTCTCTCCCCATTAAACAATAACTCTACCTTCTCCCTTCCCCCACCCCACCCCGCCCTGGCACCCAGGAAGGTTCTGTGAAATGAATGAATGAATGAATGAATAAAGACATGAATGCCTCTGACCTGAACCCTCCCCACAAAAGCCAGATGTCCCTTTTTGCTAGACTCCCAAATATCTTCACATTTTTCTCAGATTTATTTCAATCAATCTGAAACATTCTCTGTTTTACAAAATTCTTTTCTTCTTCAGGACAGCAACTATGACATATTTGAAAGGGTAAGCTTGGGCCCCAAAACATGCATTTGGCCCGTCCTCCATGCTGCCAGACCCGATGGGCAAGTCACAGTCCTCATTTTACAGCTTTGGTACCAGTGAAGCATTCCCTATTGTCGAACTGCTCTCTTCACCTGTCTTCCAGGATAATACTCTAGGATTCCCACGCACCTCAGTGGCTGCTCTTCCCTTTTCTGGGTCTTCCTTACCCCATCTCTTAAAGTCAGAGTGCCCCATGGCTCTGCCCTTGTTCTCAGCAATTCTCTGTATACCTTTAATCACTCCCTCTGTGATCTCACCTAGTCTCAGAGATTCAAATTTCACATGTAGGCTGACGATGCCCAGGTTTTTCTTTCTCTCCACTCCTGGACCTCTCCTTATAACTCCTGGCTAGTGTGTGTGTGTGTATGAGAGTGAGTGTGTGTGTGTGTGTGTGTGTGTGTGTGTGTGTGTACTGCTGTTTCAAGGAAAATATCAAGTAGACAGGAGCTCTGTGTGAGTTACGTTCAAAGTCTCAAAGTTAACATGTCCCACACAGAACCCTGACCTTCCTCCAGGACCTGCTCCCCCAAGTCTTAACCCATCTCAGTTTAAGACAATGCTCTTCCAGTTGCCCAGGCCAAAAGGTTTAGAGTCACTTTCATCTATTTCTCTCTTACTCCATATCCAATCCTCACTAAACTGGTTTTTACCTTCAAAATATATTCAGAATGTGACCATTTCTCAGCCCCTCCACCATTACCAACATAGATTATTGCAACAGCCTCTGAACTGATGTTCCTGCTTCCCTGCTTCTATCCTCAGTATCATTCCCACCTCCAGCCACAGTCCATCGGGGAGGAAGGGTCTTCAGACCAGTGTCCTCCCCACACCTACCTGTCTCTCAACTCGCAGTCTGGCTACAACTCCTATTATCTGATTTCTTAAAGAAAGAAAACTTTTTATAAGGAGAAAAATACAACCAGTCAGCTTCTTTTTCTAGTTAGGGCACCACAAAGAGCCAGTGACATCCACATTTCTCAAGAAGCAGTAAGATATGTTGGGTCTGTCACCACTTAATAGCTAGCTTCCAAAGACAAAGCTAGCCTTCCAGAGACTAGTCACTACCCCCTCGGTAGTGGTGCTGGGGAATCCTCCCTACGCCCTCTTCTCCCTGCGTCCCCCCACTGTCATCCAGCCCCTTTTGCCTAACTGTCTCTACACTACCCCTCTCCTCCACCCACTGATGCTGTGGCTGGAGGTGAAGTCCAAATGAAATAACCAAGGATTCCAATCAGAGCTCAGGTCTTATCAGCTCTCTTCAGAACTATAGCAGCATCCTCTTACCTGGTCTTCCCACCTCTAGTCACTTAGATATTTCCAACCACAACCCCGCACAGCATCTGGGATGATTTTAATAAAATGTACATTTGACCAGTCTTCTGCTTAAAATTCTCCAGAGTTCCTACATTGCTATACTATAAATTATTCAAAACCTATTAAAATAAGCCATGGTAAATATTCTTTTTTACCTTCCCCAGATGCTTGTCTTCTGTCTTCTTTAGAATACCTTGCATGTCCCAACAGGGGTGGGCAAATCATCCAGCCCAGAGCGGAGCACTCCACTCCATGGCTAGAGTGAGTGGTCTGAGAGGATAAGCCCATCGCCCACACTGGGCCAGTCAGAGCCCTTCTCTGAAACTGAGAGATGGATGCAGGAGAAGGAGTTCTCCCTTCACTGGATTGCTAAACAGGGGCTTCCAGCGGTGGCACCCCCATGAGGGTGGCCTGTCTATGGTAGGAAAGACGGATGCTGGCGCACAAAGGACAGAAGGCAAGCAGCGGATGACCACTGGCGGCAGCGCCTTCCATTCCGGAACCTCTTCCTGCTGGGAGCTCCTACAGGATGCTTCCCAGGTATGCCACCAGGAATGACCCACGCATGCCTCAGGTAGCTGGAGCTCCAAAAGGCCCACCATGCCATTTCCTGTATCTGTGTCCTTTCCCATATTGTTTTCTCTGCCCAGGCGCACGCTTCTTGGGTTTTTACACAGCAGCCAGACTTCCCTTATGGAGCCTTCACTGGAGGGAAGCACAGTTGGTTTAATCTCCCAGATGTGCCCTAAAATGCCGAGGCTATCCCTGCTCTGTTACACTTAGGCCATTCCCTGCCTTCCCAATCTCACAGCTAGAAACCTCAGACTCAACGTAGCATCCTTGTACTTCCTCACTGCCATGTGGACTTTTCTTTTCTTCCTTTCTTCCCCATGCTGCTATCATTCCTGGACCCCATCATCTCCCACCTGGAACCAAGCAACAGCCTCCTATTCTCTCTGCCACTCCCTCTACTCAACCGTTCCTCCCACTACTGTAGTTAAACCTCCAAGAACCTTCCAGCCATCTCAGAATCAAACCCTGGTATTAAGGCCCTTCAAAAACCGGCCACAGCCTATAGTCTCTAATTTCTCAAACCACTTCCCCTTCCAGGAACATGGAGCAGACATACTTTTCCCTGTTCCAGCTGCTATATACAAGTAAAAGCCCCAGATCT